GTTATGGGGGTACAGGACGGGTTTTTGGGGTGCAGGGCAGTAGGGTGTGGGCAGGGCTGGTTATTGGGGTGCAGGGCAGCGGGTGCAGGTTGGGTTGTTGGGGTGCAGGCCAGATTATTGGGGTGCAGGGCACAGGCAGGGCTGCTTATTGGGGTGCAGGGCAGTAGCATGTGGGCAGGGCTGGTTATTGGGGTACAGGCTGGGGTTTTGGGGTGCAGGGCAGTAGGGTGCAGGCAGGGCCAGTTATTGGGGTGCAGAGCGCAGGCAGGGCTGGTTATTGGGGTGCGGGGCAGCAGAGGCCAAGGCAGGGCTGTTTATGGGGCCACAGGGGCAAGGAGGGGCACCCCCTTTTCCAGAACAAAGCGCAAGCTCCCACACACACAGCTCTTTGCACCCCCTTTATTTCCTCTAGAGAAGGGCAGGGGGGGAGCCCCAAACCCCACAGCACCCCGGCCTCCCCTCCGGATTCCATCGAGCCACACGGAGCAGGGGAGGGGAGGGAAATGACATCATTTGTCTCTTTTTGGGGTGGGTTGGGGTTTTTTTTTTACAGAAATACAGTACGTCTATGCACAGAGTATTTACACCCAAGCCCCTCTCTTGCATATAAGTCACCGGTGGGGAAACCCAAACTGTTGGCCAGCCGGATCGCCGCGCCAGCCGGCTGCCAGGGAAGAGCCGGCGGGATATTTCTTTGGCCGAGGAGCCGGAGATGGGATGGAGGAGGAAGAGGAGCCACGCTGGGGCTGCTAAACCCCCTGCCCACAGCGCTGCTGACTTCTCCCCGCGCTCCGTGCCCTCCCCTCAAAACCCCCGAGGGTTTTAAGGAGCCGATTTTCCTCCTTCGGGTCTCGCGGGACGCGGGCAGTGGTCTCCCCCGGGCTGAGTTTTTGGGGTTTGTGCCACAGCCTGAGCCCCAGAGAGCGGCCGAAGCTCTTGCATAGCCAGTGCTGCTGCGGGTGCAGGGGGGGGAAAAAAGGGACAAGCTGGGCAAGACAGCCGGCAGCAAGAAAATAGGTAATAAAAGCATGAAAGGGATCACTGGGAAGCCTAAAACCCCTCCAAAAACTTCCTTAAACTACCATACCCTCTGCGGAGCCAGCCTCGAGTTTTTCACTGCATCAATGCATCCCTGCGTGGGGATTTTTTTTTCCTATTCAGTTTGCTTTAAACAGCCCTCAAAAAAGCCCCTGCTCTGTCCCTGCTGGCTGCCGCCTCCGGGTTTGGCTGCAGGGCTGGATGGGCCGGATCGGCTTTTCCCTCGGCTCCCCGGCACCGTCTGGGGAAGCGTTTGCTCCTGGAGGTTCCACATTTCTCAGGGACTTGCAGAAGGAATGGGGTAATAAACTAAGAGTGGGACAGAAAACCACCAAGATTAAAAGTGAGGGCAAAAAGCAGAAGAGTCAGATCGGCGCGGAGGTCAGGGACTTGCATAAAAGTTACAGGCAAAGCCGCCGGTTTTCCAGCGCAGGCTCGACCTGCTTCCCGGGAACCGGCGCTGTACCAAAGTCCGGTTGTGTCTTGGCTAAAAAAACCCCCAAGATTTGCTCGGTGAGACGCTGACAGCAGCTGGACGCTGTGGTGAGACGGTGGGGGACAGAGCTCCCCCGAAACCACCGCTGGCATTGGAAAAGCTTCTCTGCAACCAGCCCGCGGCCGCGCCGCCTGCTTGCAAACCTCGCCCGGGGGTTTCACAGCGGTGACGGGCCCCGGCAGCTGGCCCCGAAACCGTCACCGCCCCTTCCCCAAGCCCGAAATAAAGTGCAAAATGGTCGCCTGGTCAGCGCCAGTCAGAAAAAGAGGATCAGATCGAGCCGCGGGGGGTTCGCTCTACCTTCCTCCTGCCGTGCAGCCGCTATCAAGGGCGGGTCCTCTGCCGCCGGCACGC